GCTTGCTTCACTGATAGTGACAGCTCTTTGGATCTCATCTTGAGAGTTGACAGCAACAGATTCCAAATGCAAATAGCACACTTGAAATGAACTCTGGACCTTTTATCTGCTCATTGTAATTGGGATAATGAGGGAATAACACACACCTGGCCTTGGAACAGCTGAGAAGCCAATTGTCCCATTACTTTTGGTCCCTTAACAAGTGGGAGGCGCATTTGCAAACTGTTGTAATTCCTACACCGTTCACCTGATTTGGATGTAAATACCCTCAAATTAAAGCTCACAGTCTGCAGTTAAAGCACATCTTGTTCGTTTTATTTCAAATCCATTGTGGTGGTGTATAGAGCCAAACATGTTAGAATTGTGTCAATGTCCCAATATTTATGGACCTGACTGTACATATATATATTGTACATAATTATCATCACTAGAAGGAAAGAAAATATTTGCACACTATGAGGTCTACAGAGAGTCTTGAGACCTCCTTCTCAAAATCCTATCAGTCTCTATCACTACAGTTTTTTTTTTTTTATTTAAACATTTATTGAATCCATCACACGGCATCATAAAATACAGGTTAATAACCTATAGATTATTATTTATTTATGACAGGTACTTGTAAAGAGCTGTCAATTTACACAGAGCTTTACATATATGTTGTATATTCCATAACCCTCAAGGAGGATACAACCTAAGGTCCCTAACTCACATTTATATATACACTTGGTAGGGCCAATTTAGATAGGAGCCAATTAAACTACCAGCATGTCTCTGGTGTGTGGAAGGAAATCCATGCAGGCAGAGGGAGAACATGTAAACTCCACACAGGTAGTACCATGGTTGGGATTCAAACCAATAAACCTAATGCTGCTAGATGGAAGTGATAACCATTTAGCCACTGTGACATTTGTGTAGATCACCAGTGAATGCAAAAACAAAGAAAAAAAGTAAACATAAATTGTACTTTTGCTTTGGGACTCCTTCCTTTCCTACTTCCTTAGAAGCCATCCATCTCACAGGACAATTTTGTTTTTGACAATGCATCAGGGCCAGATCTAGGGGGCTCCTGTGGTGGATTGTGCCCCCACAGATTTCAGGGGGGAACCAGGATGCCCAGTGTCTTTTGTTCCTTAGGTGCTGGTGGCTGGCCCATCTTTACTGAAACAGATGACATTGATTCAGAGTGGGGATTCTTATGAGGATGGAAGTCCTGCTTTTGTCTAAATCTGCTCCATCCCCTGCCCCCTGCTGCGAAAAAGATTTCTCCTGCGCTGACCCAGCGAGTAGATGGAATTAAACCTCCAACCATGATCCAAGTGGGTCTCTCCAAAAAGGGGAAGCCCGAACAAAACTGGGAGCGCTTGTGATGTAACGAAAATTTATTAATGGGGGAACCCTAAAAATAGGCATGTAAGGTCCACCCAGGGACTTCAAAGGTAAGAGGCCAGCGCTAATAAGGGGGGGTCCATGATCGAATGCCTTCTTCCTCAAGCTCAGGACTCTGATGAAAGGGGAGCGCTGATGTAAGGAACCTGAGTCTAATAAGAAGGGATGATATGACTCTGATGTGAAGAGGTGGTTGTGGTGGCGGGACTGTGATATGAAGGGGGAACTTTGATCGTGCCCAATGTGGCACCAAAGAGAGGATGACATCATCATCCAATGCAAATGTCAGTGTCCTTCAGCACAATAAATACTGTTTGGGACTGTGGTGCCTTGTGATTTTCATACCTTGATAAGGTGCCGTGACTGAAAATGAGAAACACTGGACTAATACATACAGTTTTCATTGCAGCCATGTAGAGACTCGGGGAACTAGCATTTTCTGATCACTCCAGCACTGCCTCTGCACCACCCATAAGTAATGGCAGGTGGTACTATCTTACAGTATGACAGACTGTCAGTGACTCATACACAGCCAATGATAACAAACGGGTGGAGCTAGGTAGAGGGTATAAAACAAAGTTGTATTAACAGTATGCTCCCCTTTCTTTTTTTACTGCACCCCAGATCATCCAGACTACATCCACACAAGAATCAACAACAATCTATATTAAGCAATGCAGTGGCTTTCTTGCTGCCCGTACCAGTTATATGATGCTCTAATCCTGCTCCCATGTCAGCTACTGCGTTTTATTGTGTTTTAAGCAGCAAAAGTGACTTCCACTAGTTATTAACCACTTGACCTCCAGAGGATTTACCCCCCTTAATGACCAGGCCTCTTTTTGCTACTCGGCGCTGCACTAATTCAATTGATAATTGCGTGGTCATGCAATGCTGCACCCAAACGAAATTTACGTCCTTTTTTTCACACAAATAGAACTTTCTTTTGGTGGTATTTGATCACCTGTGCGCTTTTTATTTTTCACGCTATAAACAAAAAAAGGCCACAAATTTTGAAGAAAAACGATATTTTTTACTTTCAGCTATATAAAATATATAGTAAACTCAAAGTTGGTTATAAATTTAGGCCAAAATGTATTCTGCTACATGTTTTTGGTAAAGAAAATCCCAATAAGTGTATATTGATTGCTTTGTGTGAAAGTTATAGCGTCTACAATCTATGGTATAGATACTTCAATTTACGCCATTTTTTTACTATACAGTGCTGTGCTAGTTTAACGGACAATTGCGCGGTCATGCAAAATGGTACATAAATGAAATTTACATCCCTTTTTTTCCCACAAATTGAGCTTTCTTTCAGTGGTATTTGATCGCTTGTGCGGTTTTTATTTTTTGTGCTATAAAAAAAAAGGCTGACAATTTTGAAGAAAAAAAACAATATTTTGGACTTTTTGCTATAAAACATGTCCAGTAAAAAAAAAAATTTAAAAATCAAATTTAGTCATAAATTTCTGCCAAAATGCATTCTGCGACATGTCTTTGCTAAAAAAAAAACCCAATACGTGTAAATTAATTGGTTTACGTGAAAGTTATAGCATTTACAAATGGCGGGAAAGATACTGGGATTTTTAATTTTTTTTTATACTAAAAATGGCGGCGATCAGCGACTTATGGCGGCGATCAGCAACTTATGGCGGGACTGCGGGACTGCAGCGGACATTCTGACATTGGGGGATACTGACTTGGGGTCACTGACATCCCCAGTGACACCAATACAGTGATCAGTGCAAAAAAAAAAAAAAACACTGACACTGTACTAATGGCACTGGGGAGGAAGGGGTTAAGTTTATTATTCAGGGAAAGGGTTAACTGTGTGAGGGAAGTTTTTTACTAGGGGGCGGGGGTGTGTACTGCAGGGAACACCGCTGATCGGGGAGAGAGAAACTCTTCTGTCCCGATCAGTGTGTCCTGGAGCTGTCAGGGAACTGACAGAAAGCACAGCTACTGCAGCTGTGCTCTCTGTCAGCGATTGCCGCCAATCGCCGGGACATAGCCGGTAACGACCGGCTGTGACCCGGCGACTGACATCCGCGGCTGTGATCAGCGGGACAGGTAGGGCGGCGGCGCACCTCGCACGCGCCCCCTACCTGTTTTCCAAACACACATTTTAAAACGTGTTTTTGCCCAGCCGTGCCACCCTGCCGCCGTATTTCTACAGTGGCTGGGCGGCATGTGGTTAAAGCAATTAAAGCAAGAGTGTTCCTGATTCTAATGCTGGTAAAGTGCCACCAGAGTGAATATGACATGGCTCTTAAGCATTAGCCCTTAAACACTTTATGGTACATATGACCTGGGTGGACCTGACTCTGACAAATGATTCATGGCCTATCTTTATAGATTTCAACATGTAATAAACATGCTGTAAGGAATTACAGAATAACCTCACACTATTTGTGTAAAACCATAGGCACAATCCCTCTTGATTCAACAATTTCAAAAACATCTACTGATTCAATGAAATGCATATTGTGTAATGTCCATCTATGACAATCCTGTGTTCTTAAAGTGAAAGTTTACTCTTTCAGTCAAGATGAACTATTTATATTTCTTATTATGCTAGATTTGGCAATGTTTTTTATTTACATTTCTTCAGTTGCTTCCTAGTTTCTAGTGTAGACCAAATTGATGTCTATCACGTCCCAGGAGTCTTCATGGCAATTTTTTCTTTCATCTGGAGGAGGGGAGGAGGGGCTATCCCTGCTAGGCACACCTTCCTCCCTGCATGCCTGAGCTAAAGGCATATGGATTCTAGTAAATAAATACTACATGAATCTGCCCTTTTCACAGCTAGAATTGTTAGGAGGGTGTTTTTCAAAGTGATTTCTCAATAAAATAAAACAAAGACATGGATGGATGGGTGAGTTTGCTCTGAATATTAACAATTAATTAAATTGTGTTTTCCATTTGCTCAGATAAAGATACTCACTGCTTTAATTATTACTACATGAACTGCATAGAGTAACATAGTTTCTGTGACTGATTTATTTATGCTGTCCCCATTTTTAACATATCTGCCAATACACAGCCCACAGACTACCCTGGAAACTTGTGCCAGCATCCTCCACTACATATGCAGTAAATGTCTGTAATTCATGCACATTTCCCCACAATTACACTTTTAAAACACTAAAAGTACATAAAAATACCTAATACTGCCAGACAGCCAGTGTGCCACTAACATCCTATTTGAGTTAATAACACATGCCTCTGTGGTACCGAAATCCTGCCTGCTGGACTGCAGATTTATGGCCTTATGTGGAGGTAACCTCTTTGTGTGACCTCTATTCTCAGTGGGGGTCAATTTTTTAAAATTAATTTTTTATATATATATATTCATAAATGAATAAATGTGGTATGTCCCAACTTTTTATATATACAAAATGTATACAAAAGTGGTAAAATGTGGACAGAGAAATGAAGTCATAGACAGTAACTCAGTCATGCAGATAGCAATATACAGGAGGCCTGGGATCAGCGGGGGACAATAGCACAGACCGCATTGTGCTGACACGAGGTGAAAAAGCTGGCATTAAGACCTGTGGCTCATCTCCCTATATAAACCCCGTGAATGGATGGATGGAATAGGCGAGTGCCAGATGGAGATCCCAGCAGTTCAGACTGAGCGAGGTGAGTGCACAGCTCCACCAAGGACCCAGTTCTACAAATTAAGATGCATTGTCTACAGGATCTAGTACAATATACAGAATAGGGGGTCTCTCTCAAAAAAGAATCTACAAACAAAGAATGTATGTATGTTTCTCTGTTAAAAGCAGACATAGAAATACATAGTCATAAATAGATAGGTCGAAGAAATATTAGATGGAAGGAACATAAGGCGAAGCTAAACATTTACAGATTACATACATAAATATAATTGCTAATCTTAGGGACACTCTTGGTCTTGTAGCTACTGATTTTCTAATTAAGTAAATGCCTGATGATCAACCTGGACTATCTGTATTGTGACATTGGAAGCAAAGATTACTACATGCTATGATACCTTTAAAAATCATACATTCTATTGGCAAAAGCAGCTAGTATAAGTACCTAAATCCGTATTGATATCAGGCTCATGCTATCCCTTGTACAGTAGACTGAGAGAAAAAGGGTCAGCACCATGAGCCGATCAGGTGTGCTACATGTAAGTTAGATGCTGAAGGCTATTTAGGCTTTTGTCTAGAATTTGACTTTATTTAAATGTGGCCATTTAATGACAAAATTTTAATTATATATATTTTTTTTTTGGGGGGGGGGGTATTGACTATTCCGTGAAAGGGTGGTGAAGGAAAGTTAAAGAATGGTTTAGCCAAGTACCTGACAAATGCCGTAAATGTTGGTAGAAATAGAAACCCATACATCACTTTATTTCCCTGACATGCTTCTTCTATATATAAGGGAGCCATGCACCCTTTTCATTATCCAGAGAGCAATCAGAAATGATTGACGCTAAAGGAGAATGCATGTCTCTCCATTATAACTAATGAAATTTGTTTGAAAGATTGCAGTACACTGTCTTCATCATCCATTTGTAAGTACAGTAGCTGTGTCATAGTTCACAAAGTTAAGCTGGAAGAACCTCAAATCCTTTAATATTTGTCTTCCTTATTAATTTCTGCTATGGAGACAGATGGCTGCCTGTTTTTCAGCTCAGCACTAATATTTCACATCCTTAGGCATAGCATTAAGACCAATTTACAGATGTGACAGCAAAGTAAATACAGGCATTCTTTTGCTGCTGCTACTAAAAGAAGGATTATTTTTATTAAAAGGAAACACTATGTGCTTATAAGAAAACAATAATAGAAATAATGGCGCTAACATGTGTTGGGCTTGTTCTAGTGTCTAGGGTCCCAAAACCCATTTAAGGAAACATAAAGTATATGTAAAGGCAAGGTAAAGAAAAAAAAATCAGTACATGTATTTTTTCTCTATGTAATATTTCTTCAAAATGCAAGTACAAAAAAATACCTGTTGATCTGCCAGAGGGCTCCTAACGTTCTAGTTGGGCTGACGACACAATACACTTGCTGCAGTAAAATCCCAATCAGAATTATCAGCCTGCTGGACTAAAAAACGTTCCCTATCTTTCTCTCTCTTTTTGCACGTACATACATACATTTATTTCTTTCCCAGTAAAACAATGCTGCTTTTTTTTACTTTCAAGAACCTGCCCACACACTGTGTGTAGTGAAAAAGAGAAGTAGTTCTGGGGACATACCTACATCAGTAGGACCTGAACTTCCAGCTGCTGCCCCTGGAAGAATTTACAAGCCTGGTGATGATATCACAGTGAATAATGTTTGAAGCTGTTTCTCACTACAATAACAAAACATTATTATTATATGTAGTGTTTCAATAGGATGGTATGGTTTATTACAGTATAGTGATGATTTACGGGAGGTCTTCAAAAAGTTTCTGCACTTTTTATATATATATATATATATATATATATATATATATATATATATATATATTTATATATTGAAGTTAACACACTTTTTTATATATATATGTGTGTGTGTTAAAAAAAAAAAGTGCAGAAACATTTTGAAGAACCCTTGTAGTTTTACTTAATTTAATTTATGGTTATTGTATATATTAATTATTCTGTTATTGCTAATTTTATGGCTGTTATGGCTGTTACAGGGGCGGACTGACAACTCATGGGGCCCCCGGGCAATAAGGGATCATGGGGCCCCTGTGTCCTTGATCAAACTCAAAAAAGCCTATGAAAAAGGTACCAGGGGCATCTCATGGAGCCCCCTACTGATCCCGGGCCCTTGGGCAGTGCCCGAGTTTCCAAATGGTCAGTCCGCCCCTGGGCTGTTATGGTGTCTTCTTTTCATTTGTTATTGTGATTTTGTGTTGTCTTTGTTGAATGTAACTCTATTTTGGGATTAATAAAGTATTTTAAAAAAATAATGCGGGGACATGCTTTAAAGGGAGAAAGGGAAGTTTGGGGGGAAATCTGGGTAAAGTCTGGACATCCACTTTAATTTGTTTTTTTGTTGAATACAGTTTTGGACATAGGATAGTACAATATAAATGACGGGTGAGGTGGTCATAGGATAACAACATCCCATTTTGTGAAAGAGTGATATAAATGTTTTCTTTTTTTTTTTTTTTTGCAGAAGACATCACCTCTGAAAAAATGGCCCAGACCAACCCACTTCCTGTTCCTCTGGGACCCTGGAAGGTATCCAGATATTGCACATGAGGGGGAGCTGATGTGAATAATAACACAGTTATTTAAAATGAAAGAAGAACACTGAGACTTCATGTAGATTAGATGTTCTGTATCTGAGTTTTATCCTGAACACAATCCAATAAAGAGATCATGTTATAAGAGAGTATTACCAAAAATGACTAAAAGGAGCCACTTGTGTTTACTTTATTGTATTTCTTGTTGGCTGCTCAAAATAGTCTCTTTTGTTTGGCACCAAGAACAAGAAACCATGGGACCAGTAAAATAAAAATATCTATTCATCATCCTTATCTGAATTTGTTTTAAGCAGAAAAAAGCCACAAAAACAGCACCCTTAGGATCCTGCAGAGGATGATGTGCTCAACTGCTACACCAAACACTAACCATGACAGTTAGGATATCTAAAGTCAGCAAATGCATGCTAAACAATGGACTTAACAGCTACAAAGAAACTGCAGCCATCCAACTAACAGAGGAACTGTAAGTTCCAGCATAGCAGTGTAACAAGGTGGTACGAATATAGTCTGCAGACACCAGTGGAAGATAGGTATCATCTGATCCAGCTACAGGGAAATCAAGGATGCCTAATTCTTACCCACACTATATTGATTCCTGTACTATCTTGTCCCTTTTATTGACATCCCACACATTTAATCTTTGCATGGCTTTCAAATGCTGCTTTTTAATTTGTAAATCCTGCCACAGGAATGATTACAAAGTCATGCAACAGTAAAATGATGACTCTTTTCCCTACCAGATTACAGTGTATGACCAAGAGAACTTCCAAGGAAAGAGAATGGAATTCACCTCCTCCTGTGCAAACATCATGGAGTGCGGCTTTGATAACATTAGGTCTCTGAAAGTGGAATGTGGAGCGTAAGTATGGCTTCTTGGTGACTTTTAAGACTTCTTGGGTCATTTATGTAGCCAAACACAACTTTATTAGTTTATTTCTAGATGTAGTTTATTAGTGCAGTTTGTTTTGAATAAAAACTGTAGATCACATGGGCAACTGTGATAAATATTTGAGAGTGCAAAAACAAATACTAGTTCAGGTATCTGTGCTCATTTATCCATTCAATCCATTAGCTTCCTAATCTTTGCTAAAACTACCCATGTTGTCAGAAAAGCAAAGATCATTTATTAATTATGATAGTTAATATTGTATCATTTCATAAGTAAAGTTTATTTTAAAGTCTTATTGGAAAAACATATTTCGACAAAGTAGATTCGACTACCTCTAGGAATCCTTTCTATGGCTAACAGTCTGTGTTCTACTATGCAGCCTGCAAACATGCCAAATTGTCCTCAATAAAATTAAAGCTTAACTCCAGCAATTTTTTTTATAGAACACAGCTTCACCATTTCCACTTTGCTAGGTAAATCGTCTCTATTCTTTAGTGGATCAACCCCATTGCCCATCAAAGAAACACAACACATCCAATAATTACATTGTGTACTGTGTGGGTCAAGGCACAGAGAATGCTTCTGTTGGGCGCAAGAGAGGTTAGGAAGTGCTCATTAGGTTATAGGTAGGCTTATTTTGAAATGGTATTCTATCTCCTTGAAAGCAAAAAATAATAGTTCCCTTTATTAATGATTTGAACACCATCCTTAAAAATGAATGTGGGAGGCCCTGTTCAAATGATGTACTCCATGGCAATCACTTGGACCTTTAGACAAGGTAGTCATTGCTTACATACCACATTGCCCATTTTACCTCCTGTTTGCTTCCACAGATGGATTGGATATGAACACACAAGCTTTTGCGGTCAGCAGTTTGTCCTGGAAAGAGGAGAGTACCCCCGTTGGGATGCTTGGAGTGGCAGCAATGCCTATCACATTGAGCGCCTGATGTCTTTCCGCCCAATCTGTTCTGCTGTGAGTGTGCAAAGGGGATTGTAGGTGCTTTGGGTGGATGTCAAAACATTTCAAACATGAAACAACTAGACATCTTCAAATATAACTGTACTATTCATCCACAGATTCTGTCAGTGTTAGATGTTACCTTTCGGAGCGCAATTACTCTCAGGTTCAATCAGCTGAATATATTTCAGATTCATCAAACTAAAATATGTGCTATGTGAAAGTGGAGGTCTCCCTACATAGCCCCTGCTGAGTCAAAGCTAAAACTCCTCAGTCAGAAAAGCTCATGCCCCATGCTGACTGGAGCTCTGACTGCTGAACTCCTGCACAGAGACCACTGCTTCCACACAAGGAGCTAGAGCCTTCTACAGCATAATGACAGGGGACAGGCTTTTCTACTTAGGTTGTGGCTGCTTTACAAGGAAACAAACTGCAAGATTTTGAATAGCTTTTTATGTACCTGGAATGTATTTTAGCAGGTTTAAACTGAATGGACTTTAGAACAAAATCGTTCCATAATTCTTTGTTTTAAATGTCCACATTTCAGTGGTATAGTTGAGTGTACTGTAAACTAGGTTCTTGATCTGTTATTAGACTCTGAGCCATCATCTACTATGTATAGCTTTTTAATATTTACAGGTGCATTGAGCCCTCATAGTGGAGCATGTGACAATTTAGCTATGCTTTGGCAATTTCTTTCTTTTATTTTTGAGAATGATCAGTTGAAATGTAGTCTGTAAATAGAGATCACTCATAATGACTTCTTGCCTTTTATTTAATTACTTTCTAAGAACATTTAAAACACCCTAAATCTAGTATTATACATGGTGTAATCCTTTGTGGTTGCTTTAATTGGGTATTTAGTTAATTTTGCCATTTTTATCAGTCCTTTTGCTATATTTCTGCCAAACTGTGTAAACGTTACCATTTTTAATTTTGCATTGATACTGCAACTTCCCATGTCAGAATTTTTTTTTAATTAAAGATAAATCTGGGGAGATTTGCAGACAAGATCAGGCGAATTGCAATGAAGCAAAAAAATCAATTACTTAGACAGTGATTATACACAGGGTTTACATATTGTTCGCCAAATTCATTCTATTGTAGAGATTACGGCTTTAGACTAGTAACCATGAATGATACTCTAATAATATTGGACATATCTTTTTTTGTTCTGTATTTTTACACACTATTCTCACTGATCTATTAATAAACCTGTTTTATTTCCCTCTATACAGAACCATAAAGAATCCAAGCTGGTCATCTTTGAAAAAGAGAATTTCATTGGGCGCCAGTGGGAGATGTGTGATGACTACCCTTCTCTACAGGCTATGGGCTGGGGGAACAATGAAGTCGGATCCATGAAAGTTCAATGTGGAGCGTAAGTACTAAACACTAAGAAGAAAGCTGGTTAGAGCTAGAGAAAGAGATATCATTTCTGAAGCACTAAGCATGGTCATACTTTGGTTTAATAGCACTTCTAAAAAAGTAAGAAAGTTGGACAACTTACATATTAAAAAAAAGAACAAAAGGGGCTGATCATGAATGAGCTCAGTCCTGATGCAATAATAGCTTTGTTTTTGCAAATGCAACCACCATTAAGTTACATTTCAGTGCCCAGCTATATGTTTTACGGATTCCGTTACTCCACAACATGGCTTATGTCACAGTTCTTAAAGAAATGAGTGTCATTGAAGAAAAATCACTTTAATAGTTTTGGAGTTAATGACTGGGAATGAGCATGCAGGTTAGGAAAATCAGGGAAAAGTCAGAACTCTTTATCTGCATACAACTTCCAGGTTATTTAAGTATGAAAGCAAGAAGGTCCACATGCCAGATGGGAACCTAGTTTTTCAGGAGATGTTAGCCTCCATATTCCTGCTACAAAAGAGTTTTCGTTAAATTTCCTTGTTGGGAAGAACAGTTCTTTGTTATTTGAGTTAGAGCCAATGCCCACATGTACAAATATTTTGAAAGTGCTTCATGAAGGAATTCTGTGTGCAGATAAGGAGGACTACTTTTTGGTATTAATGCATTATACTCATTTTCTCACAGCTGGGTGTGTTACCAGTATCCCGGTTACCGTGGCTACCAGTACATCCTGGAATGTGACCATCATGGAGGTGAATATAAGCACTGGAGAGAGTGGGGATCCCACGCCCAGACTTTCCAAATCCAGTCTATCCGACGCATCCAGCAGTAAAAGGCCAAGACGCTCCTGTCACCTACCAATGCTGTGCTAGTGAGAAGTCACTGTTCACAGGCTTTCTGTGGTGCTACCATTCTCTTTTAACGATAATTTAGAGGAAACAGAATTCTTTTGTTGTACTGTGAATGCATGTTGGGAAAATTACTTCTTAATTGTACCAACTGCGAAAATGAAAAATAAATGTAATTAAAAAAAATAATTCTATTGAAGATTTTCTTTCATTAATTGCTCTTGTGAAATCCCTAGAGACAAAGTCATTTTGTTCTTGAGAAATGTGTGTTATAAACACTGCAGCACCTGCTGGGCTGTATCAGACTTGGTTTTCCTTATCATAGATGGAATTAAGAAGAAAAATAATGACAGGTATGACTTTATGCTACTGCAGTCACCTTGGGTAATTCTAAAATGTTATTGTGCTGATATAACCTTTCAAGAGTACTTGGAGCCCAGAACTGGTGTGCTATAAAAGTATTGTGCTTGAACTTTGCACATTAAAAAGGTCAGGGGACAAATACTCACTGATAGGATCAATTTCATGTCTGTAGCCCAAAATGTCCTTGAATATTTTCCCCACCAGGCCTGGGAGAAATAAAGCTCCAGACACCGAAGTGTGCAAGCTAAATATCTGAAAGTTTAATGCATGACAAGAACTGTTATACAAAACTCAGCAGGCATTGCTTAATCTTAGGATGACCAATGAAACATTCCACTCTTATCAATATAGTTACGTGAAGAACAGAAACTGCAAATATCTGAGGGATACCATATAATGTAGATCCGTTTAATCAGAATAGAAATTCAAATCATGAAACTAGAGAATTTACAAAGTGAAACTCAAAAACGAAACAAAATTGTTCACACATCTAAAATAAAGGCATTATACAAAATGGATGCCAGTTAATAAGACCTTCCTTTCCTTACAATTCCTTCCATTTGTCAAGTAGTGACAACATATCAAATTTCACAGTTGTTGTTTCCAATATGCATCTCGGTTCTCCAAAAGCTTGTTAAAAATTCACATGCAAAATTTAGCAACAACATAGAACATAACTATTAGTAGAAAACGTAACAAAATCAGCATTCCTACTTTCTTAAAGCATCCAAACAAATCTCCAAAAGTTCCCAACCCTTTAAAAGGGTTCCAGCCATCTTTGGCTATGGATCGAGCTCAAGCTTGTAAAGCATTTACCTGAGCTCTATGATTCTCAATGACTTCATAGTAGACTCACACAGCCCATTCAATGCTGCACACACATTTCTTCTATTTTCATTTCATTCATGAACACCTGTTTCCTCAATACAACATTCAAATTCAAGAATCAAAAAACCACCTGAAGTTTTGTTTCCTATGTATTTTTTTTTTATCTATTCTTAGTGATATTTACTTGCACAAAGTTACCATCCTCAGGTACCTTCCCAGTGACATTAAGTTTAGAGTTACTACAAAATTCTTTAGTTCATCTGATTTGTTGCCTAAATAAAAACACCATTCAGATTCCATCAAAACTCCCAACACTTCAAATTTAGGCCTTGTAGTAACATTTGTAAAGATAATACTCAGATTACCAATAAACAATGATGTCACATTTTTTGGTGCAGCATACAAAGGAATATTCATGGTTTCAGGGTGCAAACCCAACAACTCTCGATTCCTGAGAGCTTGGCATACCTTTATTTAAATTTCAACAGTGACATATTTTCAATCAATGATCTTTTCTGCTCTTATTTTATTATTCAGTGTCATTCACAGTCTTACTGTTATGGCCACAGATTGGTGGCCATTCTTCTAAATGATAGTAGCAGTGGCTAGCCAAGTAAACCACTGAAAAAGTTATCACTGAGATAACCCAATCAAAAGAAAGTTCTTCCAAGTCGGCTCTGGATGAAGCAGCATCCTGAAGATTGGAGGGTGTTCATAGGTCTATCTCCTTTTCTTTTTCCGTCTGTTGCTCCTGGTTCTTTGGTGGTTCCGGGATCCTCTTTACTCTAGAAGCATGTATCCAGATGTTGGAATCAGCAGTTAGAACTGCGGTTCTCGTCACAGCCGTCACTATGGTAGGTTCCCTGTATGGCGGATCTATGGGCTTGTGTCTGTGAAGCTCCTTAACCACTATCTGATCTCCTGGCTTGTACGGGTGGGTTGGATCATATGTGGGAAAAAAGGAAATGAAAGAGAGACATCACCGTATGCACCATTCGACACCCTAATCAATTCCTGAATATATCTTTCCTTGATTAGTTTTAAATCACTTGGCATAACTACCAAAAGGACCTTTGTTCAGGGGGTGGGGAATGGCCTGCCCATAAAGATTTCAAAATGGAAAATTTGGTGACTTTATTAGGTGTCATTCTCATCTCTGCCAGAACAGCTGGCAAATACAACTCCCATCCCTAAATGTCCCACCTGTTACCTTCCTTAGTTTTCCTTCAGGGTCCTATTTACCCGTTCTACCTGAGCAAAACTCTGTGGATGGTAGGGTATGTGGAACTTCCAGTCAATACTCATCAGTTTGGCTACCTGTTATGTAACCTTTGAGGTAAATGTGGGTCCTATGTCTAAGTCTATACTTACCAGACATCCCCATCAAAGGATGATTTCCTTTGCAAAAAAATATTTTCTTTTTTTAATCTCTCACTACCTACCAACACTGATGTCCTATGCCATAGAACTGTGCAATGTGACGTGGGAGTCATGTTATACCTCCCTTTGACATTAGACCATTTGCATCTAATGTCAACTCTTTTTGTTGCATGTCTATTCTAGGAGTGTTGTCTTCATGTATTACCTGAACACAGGCATGTTCCTCGGGTGGATTATCAATTCCACCCTTTATCCCTAGCAAACAATTTAGCATAGCTAAGGGTTAGAACCTGCATATTTCACTTCCAAATTAGCAGTTGATGTCAAAATCACTTCATAACCACTTGCCCTTTATACTGTCATGTGCTGTGTAGTGAGGTTCTTAAGGACATGCAGTACGTGATGAACAGTGTGAAGGATGGTTTTATGTTTCAGAGTCACACTCATTGAATCTTCCACCACCATTCCACAAACGACCAGGGCTCTCAGACATGTCAGCATGCCCTGTACCGGACTTGGCACTACCTTTGAAAATAGGCTACTGGCCTCATGTGTCCTCCATGATCCTGAGCGACCACAGCCACCATGGTTTTACAATTGCCACGAGCATACACATGAAAATCAACATGTAATTCACTAATTCCAGAGCAGGAGAAAAAACTAGTGAGGACCTCAAGGTTTGGTAGGCATTGATGGATACTTGGTTCCACTTAATGAGGTCTGAAGCCTCAGTTTTAGTGTTCTGCTTGAGTATGTTGTTATAATGGGAGCAGTCAGGTATCCATTGGTTACAATAGTTGACCATACCAAGGAAGGAGAGCATTTCCTTTTTAGTTTTAGGGCGGGGCAGACCTGTAATGGCTTGGATCCCAGACTGGCTCACCATTCTGGTGCCTTGTGACAGATTGAAACCCAAGTAATCCACGAAGTTTGGCAACATTGTACTTTATGCCTTGCCACCTTGTGTCCCTCTGTACCCAAAAAATTTAACAGAGATATACTGTCCTGCCTACAAGCCTCCCTGTTGGGTGAACAAAGTAATAAGTCATCCACGTACTTGAGCAACTTGCAACCATGGCAGGGTGCCCAACCCTTCCAGGATTCTCGGAGAGCCATGGCATATACAGCCAGAGAACACATGTAGCCTTAGGGCAATCTGGCCCAGGTTAACTGTTTGTTGTCCAGAGTAAAACTTAACAGTAGTTGTGTCTCTTCGTCAACTTGGATGTAATAAAAAAGCATTACTTAAATCGATCACAGTATAACACTATGTATCGTGTAGAATGGAGGTAATCAATGAGGGCACATCTGGGACAATGGGTGCAATTGGCATAATGAAATTGTTAATGGCCCTGAGATCTTGCACTAAATGGTAAGTACCCTCAAGCTTTCTTCATTGGATTAACCGGGGTGTTGTATGGGGAAACCACAGGTTTCAAAACACCTTCCTTAAGGAGCTTCTCTACTATAGGCATGATACCATCAATCTTTTCTTGTGACAAAGGATACTGCTTTTGGTATACTGGACCAAATCCAGGTTTAAGTCTGGCCTTGTAAAGTGTACAGGGAATATACCCTACATCTAGCTTACTGTTGGCCCAGACTTCAGGCTTCACTTTGCCTAAAACGTCCATGCTCACAAAACAGTGAGATGACTCCATGTGCACTCCTCCCTTCTCACTTACTTTGATTGTGGCCTTGAATTTTCCCAACAGATCTCTGCCTAGCAAATTCACAGGGCATCCTGATATAATTTCGAAAGAATGTTTCACTACGGGACCTTTCACGTGAGAGTCTGAAACACTCAAAGGTGGCGTTTCCCAGGTTTTGGCACATGTCCCAGTGATACCCTCTGAAGGTTCACATTCTACTCTTGTCCCCTATTTCTGTTGCTACTTCTTTCTCTAGGATTATAACTATGTTGTCAGCAGCCCCTGAAAATGTGGTTTGTTGGTAGATTTGGCGGCCTCAAAACATCCAGAGTCATCTTTCTCCATCACTTGGTTTTTCAAACGTACCTGCATCCATTGCTGTCCAGTTTGAGATAAGCTGTCTTATAAACAGCAAAATGTAAGGTCTATATCCTGCCATCAAGGTTTGGATATATATAGTGCCCATTTCTGCACTAGCCATATCCATCCCAGCTTCTTCCTTCCAAACTTTTCTAAATCTTTTCACATACTCTGTCATTGTTTCATTTGTTCCTTGTTTACAAGCAACAGAAGTTGCTAACGATTTCCTACTCTTCCATATTCTCTCCATCTCAGCTGTCACCTCCTCCCACACCTTTCTCCGAGTGTCTTCCTTCAGCCATACATGAGTGGCTCCAAGATCAACTAGAACATATATTTTAAGCCTTCCTGGGGCTGAGACAAGAGACTGCAGTCTGAGCCTGAGCAGCCATTTTTAAATC